GGCAAATAGTAGATGGTGAACAAGCCACATTCATATCTTCTGCTCCGTATTCAGTCACTGCTGCTTTGGTGCGCTCTTTTTCCCTTCCCGTAACCAAACCCAGACTGCCCTATTTCACGACGTATGAAGTCAGAAAAGCCCATTAGAACATCTAACCTGACTTCTGGATTATCACCATTGGCCACTGAATTTCCTCAAAACACCCCTAGAGTGAGCCAAGCACCACCTAGATCTGGCTTCACATACCTGGATTCTGCTGGTTCCCACATGCCCAGGTTGGGCCTTTCAAAAGTTTTGTGACCCTGATCTAGCATGCAGGGCCATGCTGTTTGTCCCACAGGCCTCATAGGTTTGAAATTTTGGTAGCAAGGAAGTGGTGATAACACAGATGACATGGTCCACAGGCCTCATCTGGCCCATGGGCTGGGGGTTGAGCACTCTTGCAATAGGGGAGCTAAACCTCACGCTGCAGAGGTAGTGGAAAACCTCCAGTCTGGGAGAAGATTCGTTCCTAACCACGAATCTGTTGTTCAGTTAGACTCCAAGCATGTGAGCAAAACAGACCAGCTAAGGATCGGAAGAAGATTTTCACTATCACTTGAGAGCCGACGAGAGCCACCCAGTCCAGCTGTGACCAATCGGATGTTTCCGAGGAAGGCAATCTTTTAGGTGACATCTGGCCAACTATAGAAAAAAAGTGAATCCTGATCCTCCCAGATGACCAAATGAAGCCCTGAAGCATGGGGCTTGATTATAGTCATGGCCTTACTGCAGAGTTGCTGGTATTATGTTGACAGCAATGCAGGCAATGGCCTGTGAAGAAAGGGAGAGAAGAAGTAGGGTCATGGAGTCACAGATTCAAAAGTTTTGTGACCCTGCTTTCAGCTCTCTCCCCAGTATTTCCACGTCCTCCCTGAAGTATGGATACAGGAACTGGGCATTGCAGCGCTACCAGTGCTGAATACAGAGGTAAGATCGCTTTCCTACCTCTTATTAGTTTATGCCTTTTAATACATTCAGGCATCACAATATTTGTTTTGCCTAAGCAATGCACTGAGGCCTTGTCAAGGTGAAGTCTTATGGTAATCTTTTAGTTCTTTTCTGGGTAGCTGCTTTGTGAGACAATACCTTAACTGAGCCCTTTGAGCAATCACCGGATGAGGAAGCCCTTTTAGATTAGTTGTGATAGAACTATAGTAATTACCCTCTGAGGTTGCCTTTTGGGAGCAGTAGCTCTGGTCTTTAGGCAGCATCTGTAGTTTCATGGCTGGTCAGCACTGAAGCCTGTGCCTCTTTCTCCAGGTCTCCGGTCTGTAGCCTGGTTTGTCTTTGGCTGGTTTAGCAGCTGCTGAGTTTGGCCCACAGCCCTCAGCTTGTGCCTTTGGCTGTGCGCTTTGGCTCCTAAGCATCAGCTTGTGTTCTGGTTCTGCTGCCCAGATTACAGGCAACTTTGTGGGTAGGCTACTGATAAAAAAGGCAGAAACAAGTCTGCAGCCCAACCTTTTATTTGCTGGCATCTTAAAACATGAAAACAAGAACTTATCCCAAAGTCTGTCTGGCTGCCTGTGTAAGCACAATATAGATTCTCATCTCTACCGCCTGGGGGAGTTGAGAGGTAGGAGGAGGGTGGCACGTAGGCTGGCAGCAGATCTTCTTGAATTTGCTGAATTCTCCAAATTTCCCTCGGGCTTATGCCCAATATTTGTAGATGGCTGGTCCTAATATTCTAATAAATGATCTCTGATTGGTTTTATTTAAATGTCTTTATTTCACAGAAATTTTTGGAATTGACTAAATCAGATCTCTTGTGGATTTAGAGGTGTCAGTTACTTAGGATTTATATCTTTGGGTAAGAAAGAGGAAGGATTTCTTACCTCCTTTCCTTCTCCATTATGGAGTGCTGCTCAATGCTGGCTTGTTTTTGAGGGGTATTTAACCTTAGTTTATGGTCGTCTTTGACAAGGCTGTTTTCATTTTTACAAATTATCTAAGCATCTTAACAAAAATATATCTAGGATAGCAAAATAACTTCTGATACATTTGTACTTCTAATAACTTCTAATACATAGATTCATAGACATTAGGGCTGGAAGGGACCTCGGAAGGTCATCGAGTTCAGCCCCCTGCCCCAGGGGCAGGAAGTCAGCAGGGATCATAGGATCCTAGCAAGATAGACATCCCAATGTCCCTTGAAGGTGTTCAATATAGGTGTGTGAACCACCTCTGGTGGCAGTCTATTCCAAACCTTGGGGGCTCAGACAGTAAAGAAGTTTGTCCTTATGTCCAGCCTGAAACGGTCTTGGAGGAGTTTATAACCGTTCAACCTTGTCATCCTTTGGGGCGCTCTGTGAACAGATGTTCCCCCAGATCCTGGTGAGCACCCTGATAAACTTATAGGTGGCCACCAAATCACCCCTGAGCCTGCGCTTTTCCAGGCTGAAGAGCCCTATGGCTCTCAGCCTGTCATCGTAGGGTCTGCTTTCCTGACATCTGAGCATGCGCGTGGCTCTTCTCTGGACTCTCTCAAGCTTCTCCACATCCTTTTTGAATTGTGGAGCCCAAAACTGGATGCAGTACTCCAGCTGCGGCCTCACCAAGGCTGAGTACAATGGGAGGATGACATCCTGGGATTTGCTTGAGATATAAGGATGCGGCTGGTTTTTCCTCCCAAGGTGGAGAACCTTGCATTTTTCGGTGTTGAACACCATCAGGTTCTTGTCCGCCCATTTCCTGAGCCTGTCAAGGTCTGCCTGGATCACCCTCCTGTCCTCAGGTGTGGATGCTTTGCCCCAGAGTTTGGTGTTGTCAGCGGACTTGGCCAGTCCGCTTCTGACACCGATGTCTACATCATTAATGAAGATGTTAAATATTGTAGGCCCTAGGACAGAGCCTTGAGGGACCCCACTGGTCATAGCACACCAGTTGTGCTTCTGTCAACCACCACCCTTTGGGTCCTACCACAGAGCCAATTCCCCAGCCAACGGATCATGGTGAGTTAGCTGCAGTTAGCCAGTTTTGCCAAGAGGTGATCATGGGATAGCAGATTGAAGGCTTTTTAAAAGTCAAGATATATGACATCAATCTCTTCTCTCTTGTCCAGGTGATAGGACATCAATCACTACTAATAATATTTTAAGATAAAGCTATGATATGGTGTATATGCATTACTTAATCTATAGTTTTCTCTAATTTCCTTTCAGGCCTTATGCTTTGTTTAATTGTGTTTGATGGATTCCTTTACTTTGCTGACCAAGCTAGTTGTCACATCTGCAAAGGTTCACACTATGGTCACTCAGAAACAGGCTTTGGACCTTCTGCTTAGCAACATGTCTGCAGCCTAGCCTAGGCACCTTGAAAATATCCATGGCTGACAACAGTTCCAGAACTTGGACCTAACCAGTCACCCCGCCCCCCAGTTCCTTGCACAGCTAATAGCATATGTAGAAGGAGACTAGCATGTGTGTGAGAGTGGTTGTCATTGGCAGCACCAGTAAGATGGTCCTGGCCCTTTGACTTCCATATCTTATTTTTTCACTAAGTACAGCACACTATCTGTAAAAGATGGGCCTAAGTATGGAAGACGATCTTCTACAACTTTGGAAACTATATTGGGGCATCTTTTAATATCCATATGAAAAGAAAGCAAAGTGTTTTTATATATAAACATATCACATGGACATGTATCTGTCATTGAACCAAGCTCTTGGGTTCATAACTAAATCTAGGTAATAGGATGTTGTGGACTGAGATTCTGCAGCAAAAGAAGTGGTTTGGAGCACCAAATTGCTGAGTGAAGGAAACTACTGTGAATTCTTGGCAAGTTGAGGGAAATGGTAATGTCAGAAAACACTGTGGTATAAGGCTGGAAATCAGAGTTTCTCAGGTTTCCAAGGGAGTTGTTCCACATTTGTTCTTAGCCCTTGTAGTTTCTGAAAGTCTCTGGATCTTAATATTGGCATGTATCCCTCAAAATAGCTGTGTTTTGTTAGCACTGGTTAAGGATTGAGTAAGTGCTGGAAAACTAGATCAATATAACACTCACTTCCTACATTGACTAGCTTGAGTTTATTTCTTGGCATCTTTTAATTTTTTTTCAAGGCTAAACCTATGGTTTCCAAAATAAACATAATAGAGAAGGAATGAAATTTAAATTCAAATGTATGCAAATAGAGATATTTGTCTAAATTTTCCCTCTGCATCAATACCCGACTCCTTTAATAAGCCACCATGTCCGCAGGCAGTATTCTGTTCTCTCCAACTAGCTCTTTAAGGAGCTCACTCTGAGGAGCTTAATATGTGCCAAGAACTACCTGAAATAAAATCATCTGAGTGTTTTAAAGAACATAGACAGATTTTTGTGAATGTTTAGATAATTGCCCAAGATAAAAGGATACTTTCTGTGGAAGTACAGCACAGTCGCAAAAAAGTAAACAATATAATTCTTGACTGGCTTTTAGGTGTTCAATTTGAAGTAAGGGCAATCCAGAGACTCCCTAGCTGAGTGATTCTCAACCAGGGTAACTGGCACCCTTGGGTGCCTTGATTCTTTCAAAGTTGCCGTGGGATGCCACATGATGTTAGCTCTGTTCAGTTTACAAACAAGATTCACAAGATAAATGCAGAAATTTCAAATAGAAATTGGTAGTTGTGGTCTGTTGCAAGTAAGTGCACGAGGACTTGGGACCCCTCCGGGTTGACATCC